CTAGGGGCGCTGTGGGTCAGAATGGACTCCAGGCAGTGGGTGTGGTTTGGGCTTTGCTTCTGTGAAGATTGACAGCCTTGGAGACCCTGTGGGGCAGTTCCACTCTGTCCTCTAGGGGCGCTGTGGGTCAGAATTGACTCAAGGCAGTGGGTGTGGTTTGGGCTTTGCTTCTGTGAGGATTGACAGCCTTGGAAACCCCGTGGGGCAGTTCCACTCTGTCCTCTAGGGGCGCTGTGAGTCTGAATCCACTCCACGCGGTGAGTTTGGGTTTGGTTTTGGTTATCTCTGCACGGCTGATGCAGAGGGTCTTTTTTCATTTCTTTAATGAGAAAGCAGGTAGAAACAATTGGTGAAAGTGACACACATGCATAGGCAGTGTGAGTTGACTTTCCAGGCCACCAGGATTCACTGCAGAAGGCTGACAGGTCTTCCTCATCAAGCTGTGTGATCCCTGACTGACTTGCTTACCTCTTTAAGGTCTGTCTGGAAGAAAAGAACCCCAAGCTTTCGAACCTGGCCCATGTTATGACTCTGTACAAAACCCACAGCTACACGCGAGACTGTGCCACGTGGGTCAACGTGGTGTGTCGGTACCTCCATGAAGCATACACTGATATCACCTTGAACATGGTGACCTACCTGGCAGAGGTAAGCTTTGAAATTAAGGACAGGATCTAGGAGAGTTTCTGTGGAGAAAATAATTACATGGAATGATGATAATACTCAAGATTTCTGTTTACTGAGGTGGTGTATTATGTATTAGGAGGTCCCTTGGTGGTGCAAAAAGGAGCCCTGGCAGCACGGTGGGTAAGCACTTGGCTGCTAATCAGAAGGTTGATGGTTCAAACCCCTCAGCTACTCTACGGGAGAACGATGTGGCAGTCCGCTTCCATAAAGATGCCAGCCTGGGAAAGCCCTGCGGGAAGGACTCTGTCCTCCAGGGGCGCCGTGAGTCGGCATTGACTCCACGGCAATGGATTTGGGTTGATTGGTTGGTATGGTGCAAATATTTAATGGGCTCAGCTCTTAAATAAAGGTTGGAGGGTCGAGTCCACTCAGAGGCACCTTGGAAGGAAGGCCTGGCAGCCTACTTCTGAAAAACCAGCCATTAAAAACCCTGTGGAGCATAGGTCTCTGATGTACATGGTTTGCCGTGAGTTAAAATCAGCTTGACAGCGATGGGTGCAGATAGATTATATAAGAGATGCAATGCAGAGATTTTTTTTTTTTAAATTGAGTTGCGTGAAAGTTTACAGAGCAATTCACTTTCCATACAGCAGTTCATACCCATTTGTTTCATGACGCTGACTGCAGTCCCCACAGGGTAACAGCTCTCTTCCCACTTCCTCCCTGTGGTGACCTCTTCCCTGTGTCCTTCTTTCCTACGCATCCCTGCCCTCCGAGCTAACACTGCCCTTCTGAGCTCCTGTGACTGAATGGGCCACAGGGTTGTTTTAAATCTTCACAACCACCTGGTGGTGTCAATACCATTCTAGTAGGCTGAGGGCCAGCTGGTTTCAAGAATTTGCCTAAGTGCAGAGGCAGAAAAAGCCTTTGAACCATGGTGTAAGCCAAGCCTACTGCAGTCAAGTGGATTCTGATTCCAGATTCCATAGCACTCCTGCAGGACAGAGTGCACCTACCTCAAGGGTTTCCAAAGCTGCCAGTCTTTACAGAAGCAGATTGCCTCATCTTTCTCCCATGGAGCACATGGTGGGTTCAAACCATTGACCTTTTGGTTAGCAGACAAATGCTTTGACCACTACACCACCACAGCTCCTTGAACCTAGGTGTAGCTGATGCCAGAGTTCAGAAGCCTCTCATTTACAACACTCATGCCTGTCCTCACAGGTAGAGAAAAGAAAGTTATCCTGATCACTGGAGGTGCTGTGTATTATTTAAGAAGTTTCTAGGTGAACTGATATGTTTAATAGTTGAACTAATTGCAAGCATACATTTTGAAATCAATTTCTATCTTTGCCTTTTATATGTTTTTAAAATTAGAATGAGATTTTATTGGCATACAAATATATTTTTAGCACATTCCTCACAGCTTAATACTTAGTATTGGTACTTAAAAATTTATCTTTATTAATTAAGAAACCTCTTAATTCTGCACAATGGATGCAATGGTTTCTTTCCCCACTCCGCATCTGAGGCAGCATTCTGAGCATTTAATCAGGAAAAAAAAAAGACAGAAAATGTATAAAATGCATGGGTTACTGGAAAATATAGAAAAAAATGAAAAGGAATGTCACCTAAAATTATATTATATATACAAAGAAATACTATTAATTTGTTGGATTTGTTTCCAATTTTATTGTTGTATAACACACATTTGCACAATAGTTAAGCACTTAGCTGCTAACGTAAAGGTCAGCAATTCAAACTCACTAGCTGCTTTGCAGGCGAAGATGAGGCCATCTGCTTCCATAAAGATTGACAGCCTTGGAGACCCTGTGGGGCAGTTCCACTCTGTCCTCTAGGGGCGCTGTGAGTCAGAATGGACTCCACGGCAGTGGGTGTGGTTTGGGCTTTGCTTCTGTGAAGATTGACAGCCTTGGAGACCCTGTGGTGCAGTTCCACTCTGTCCTCTAGGGGTGCTGTGAGTCAGAATGGACTCCACCACGGTGGGTTTGGTTTTTTGGTGACAGAAGCATTCACATCAAGCTTGACATCTTCTGTTATATGGACAGTTGTGTGTCATTTCTCTGTTGATTCCATGCTATTTCATCAGACATTTTTACCATGGATCTTCCCTAGTGTTCAGCGTTTCTGTTTCTTGGGATGTGTGTGTACGTCCCATTACAGATCACACCATGGCAGTTCCTCCTCCATAAAGCTCAGTGTTTGGTTATCTCTGACTTTGGAACAGTTCCTTAAAAGCATATTTACTATTTCAAAAGACAGGAAGCTTCTTAACCTGTTCAGTCTTTGCCAGTTTGATAACTGACAGTGTTGGATGTTATATTTATATATTCAGACCTACCCATGATGCCGCTGAGCACATTTCCCTCTTAGCAAATAAGGAGCCCTGATGCACAGTGGTTAAGCACATGGCTGTGAACTGAAAGGTTGGAGGTTCAAACCTGGCCATTAGATCCTGTAAAGGTGACAGCTGAGAAAACCCCATGGGGCTGTTCTGGTCTGCCACGTGGAGGCGCTGTGAATCAACGCTGTGGCACCCAACAACAACTTAAGGAAAATTGCAACCATAACACTAAAAGGAAAACCAGACCCAAGGCCATTGAGTGGATTCCAACTCACAGCGCCCCTAGAGGACAGAGTGGAACTGCCCCACAGGGTCTCCAAGGCTGTCAGTCTTCACAGAAGCAA